CTTCTTATTGTTATGTATTTTCCATTGGCAGAACCGCACCAAGTCGCAAAGATTGGGCCTGCTGTTCACCGGTGGCGCGGCTTTCTATGATCAAGAAGGGGCTGGCATGATCTCGGGCGAACAGTCCAACGCTTCAAAACATGAGGAGAGTGACCTCTGAGTTTCAGTCGCACCTTTGAGTACATGGAACCCCAGGCCGGTTTCCCTGATTCGAAGCAATTGCAAGCAGTGGAGCCTTCCATTTCTGATCCTTCCAACTCAAACCGCCCGACTTGTGGGTTGGGTTGGTTGATTGGTTGGTTGGGTGGGTTGGGTGGGTTGGGTGGGTTGGGTGGGTTGGGTGGGTGGGTTGGGTGGCTTTCGCCCGAGCAGCCAAGGTGAGGCCAACCAACATAGAGCTCAGGGCAGCGGCCTTCGCCTGCCAGAACTGGGGGCTCACTTTGCAGACTGAGTGACTGCTAATTCCCCCCCCCCCCCCCAAACCCCCCAACCCCCGAAAGAACATCCGGTAAACAAACGGCTCACACCAGAAAAACGACGACCACAGCCAGAAAAAGGAAAACCAACATCAGCGTCAGCTGAAGAACATGCGCCGCTAGCTTGCAACAAAGTGGATTCCGGCCGAATTGCCTACAGTCTTACGGAGGCGGTGAAAGGCTTTTGACTATTGACCCAATCTGCCGCCAAGTGATGGACCTTAACCGAAGCCCAACTGAGTCACAATCAAAACCTGGTATTAAAATGGTCTATCCAGAACCATGTAAGGAATTAAGAAGGCGGATATCCGCACCCATTTATGGTTGTCCCTAACCCGCAACCCATGTGGAGTGGCTAGCTCCCCTGCTAAACAAGTTTTACATTTTAGCGGTTTAATGCGGAAAACCCATTCATTAGTTGGCAAAAAGTTAAAGTCACATCCAAAGTAAAATGCAACAAAGCACTGCAGGGCTTGTTGCCCTGTGGCCATCTCTAAGGACCTAGTGGGAACAGCAAGCAGCAAACTGCGAAGGCAGCGAACATGAGCCCACCGGAAAACGGCGGCGTTGTTTCCCCACCCAAAAGGGCACCTTAGAGAAGACACACTCGAACACTCCAGTAAAGCCCCGGCGAGTGAAAGAATTGAAAGACGTAGCCTCGTTGCGCTATGCATCAGCATATCACCATTCATGGCTAGCAGCCTCGGCCAAACATGGCTATTCGTACAAGACCGTGTACATCCGGCCATTGATACTTGCAGCTGGAGAATTAGGCAATTTGCCCTTCCTCCTGCGCTCATTCTTTGTGTAGTGTAAAAGGCCAAACCAATTCGCGTCACAGGAGGATGAAGGTAAACCGAATCTTTCAAAATGGTTTGTGCTGAACCAGCGTGCAAAAAGGTGCTCCCACTCAATGTTTCTCTTCTGTCGGACCAGGCCGCTGAGACCATGGCATCGACCCAGACTCGAAAAGGAGCTGGGTCCCTTTGTGTTTGCTCGGATGTTTCCCTAAAGTTCATTCGGGACCTGGGTATCATGCCTGTCCGTGGGAGCTTGCCTGGATGGACTTGCACAAAGTGCTCACTCGGAAGGCCCAGAGCTCCAAAGCTTTGGAGAGCATGCCCGGGGTGTTCTCGGGGTTGTCGTGGAAGCCCACCTCGCAAGCTCCGAGTTTGCCATGCCCATGGGGCTTTCAATGGACCCGACCCCTCTAGAACCCCGGAGACACCCCGCAGGGGTTTGGGACCCGGTCTAAAAAAACCTGGCTGTTTGAGGGCCCCAAATACATCGGGAGCCTCTGGGTGTGCAGTATGTTGGCTTTGTTCTGCATCACCACAGCGAAGCTCAACTCAAATGGGAGATGTGACCCTGTGACCCTGCAGCTCAGGAGTCAACTGGACATGGAGTTGAAATCGGGAACACTTCGGCTCAGGTGAACAAGCGCCAAGTTCCGAGGGCCGAAGACGCGGGGCGACCCCGATGCGTCTTGTCAGGTCGTCGGAGAAAACTTACTCAGCAGCAGATGAGCAGGCAATTCCAGAGGAAAAGAGAGAAAGCTGCTCTAGAAAGTGGAAGTGAGAAAGGCTTGCACACTGTTTGTCCAAATCTGTTATTTCACAAGGGCATAGCGGCTCGGGACACACAGAAGGCAAGGTGTTAGGTGCAAGCCCTTCAGTTCAGGCGAATGCTCTTCAATTCTGCGTGCCGGAATGGGACTGGCCACACCTGGATCAATTCCTGGGGTCTCCGAAAGGGAACCCCTTTTTCATGCCCACAAAATGCCCACACACCACCCCCAAACAGGGCACTTCCCTCCAAAAAGCCGCGCTTTGGGGGAAACCTCTATCATGGAGCCATGAGTCTTAGCCCGAAAGAGCTCTCTGTGATATGATCGAAGTCATCTCTCCTCTAATTGGTGTTGATTGGTGGCAGTAGAGCTTATGGGCTGTCTAATTCGGCTTCAAGAGGAACTTGGCAACTATCCAAGCCATCAATCCGGGTAAGGATGACCTGATGTGCGTCCAGTGAGAATACCATCTTGGAAGGAGCATCCATTTCACTTCCAGACCTCCTCTAAGATGACTGCATGATGGGTCGAGCTGCAAACAGGCGTTGCAAAAAGGCTCCCCTTGATTCTTCTTGAGCTAGACAACACGGTTGGTTAGAAAGCAGGACCAGGAAGTCCTTGACGCCATTTTCACAAACTCCTGTGTTGTTTTTGGGTTTTTGGTGGACTCCCTGAAAACTGCAAGGAAGTAGATAACCCTTTGTTCTCTCACAAGTTGCAAGGTTTTGTGGTTGGATGTTGGCTCATAAGTTAGATTCAACACCTGGTCTTCAAATGGTCTGCCCAGAACCATGTAAGGAAATCAAAAAACGGCGAAGGCGCCCATTTGCGGCAAGAAGGTGTTCCCTCACCAACCTTCATCTACCCGAATCGGTTTTGAGGACGTGGCTCATATCTCCATTTTCTACTGGGTCCCGAAACCACGTACCATTCAGAACTCACACGGCCTCCTGGCGGAACATGGTGGTGAGGATGTTCACACGAAGGCGCTGAGTCATAGCCTACCGCGTCTTGCGGCGCGTCCCTTGCACAGTCAAAAGAGTAAGAGGGTTCAGTGAGCAGCTATTGGAAAAATAGCTGTTTCCCTGGTACATGGGGCATAAATCCTGTCTAACCCAGTGGAACCCATCTATACTCACCCAGGCAAGTCGATCAACAGGACACCTATGGACATCACACAAGAAAAAGCCTCCGTTCTTGGCATATTCCAAGAAGATCTGCTGTCCTCAGGAGCAGAACTTCCAACTTTCCCCATGCGAGCCCCAAGACAGTCCGCTTCATATTCAGTCAATGTCCCGGACTTAGAGCTCTTGCCAGGGTCAACATATGCGGTTGGCCGAAAGAACATGTGAAGAGATGTGAAGAGTAGTGAGTCTCCCGGCTTTTTTGGGACAGTCTCAGCTTTCGCCTCCCGATGTCAAATGGACCATAGACTACGAGAAATATGTTGACCCAACCTTCAGTCTGTCTTTGGACGTGGAAGGAGGGGTTTCCATTGCCAATCCCGAAAGTGTCGACCCATTTTCCCAATGGTTTTGTTTGTCCACCATCCGGAGGAGAGTTTGATTGGAGATGCACATTGCCCCTTCAGCACATTTCTCAACTGGCAAGCGCGGCATATCGATGTGCCAAAAAAATAAGTACGTACCTTCCTTTCACAAACAACATGGCAGCACGAAGGCCCTTCTGGGAAGAGTACTTCCGTTTGATGAGGAAGTCTGTGCATTAAGCCATGTATGTTTATTGGGGGGAGGGTAGACGCACCTGGGCTGAACCGTTTTATTGGCAACACGTCCTATATTGAGCAAGGATTTTGATCACTGGAAGGCGGAGAATCTTCCAACGGGAGGCTTGACATGGTGGGGACCGCCAAAGGAACTTGGGAGCAACTGCAGATCATTGATGGATGCAACTTGGCGTTACACAACTTGGTGTTACACAAGAGGGTCCTAAGCAAACGTGGACAATGAGGGGCCTGCAAGAAACTCGGATGCTTCGACTTGGACACCCTCGGCGCGGATGCTTCGACTTCGATCCGCTTCGCCTCGCCCAAGATGGCGAAGCAGCCATGGGAGATGGTGGAGCCCAGCAAGCAGCTCAGTCCGATGATGACAAAGAGCAGCGACATGAACCTAAAGGACAGGGATTCAGCGCGTCTTTCTTTAGACCCAACTAATTGTCCTTGTGGCTTTCCGTAAAGCCGCTCAAGGGGTAAGATTAGATAGGAACTACGGAAGGGCCGCTAGATCCAAACCTCATACGCGCTTTGAGGGATGGGGATCCACCAATTGCAGACCGAAAAGTGCAGACTGCCTGCATGTACACAATTGAAGCCCAAGACAGGTCCCCTGCTTCCGCCTTATGATTCAAAGCAAAGGAAACTCAATCAAACCGGCAAATCAGACGACGACGCTTGAAGCAACCGGAATGGGACATATTATGGCTGTGGCTCAAAAAATGTACCAAAATGGCGCCTTGGTAACTGAAACCAAAGACTAAAACTTGCGTAACCCTAGCTCTTGAATTTTGAGCCATACCCATGTCTGCTGAATTTCCACAATGTGGAAATTCAGCAGACTGCCTTTCCGGGGCAAGTTGTAGGTGCAGTTGATTGCAGATTCGCTTGCTTTTTGTTTTATGCATGGCTGATGACGTAGCAAGTGGTAGGAATGTTGTACAGGTCACAGTTGCCATTTATTTAGCAAGGTAGAAGGCAGAGGTCAACTTGCATGTCCTAGTCGTCTTTTCCCCGCGCAGTGGTTGCATTGCTGAGATTCGCGTGGGCGAAACAACTCTGTGCATCGCTTTGCCGAGGGGATAGGAAGGGCTCAAGCACAATGGATTGCCCCGAGAATGAAGCAGCCCTTCGGATCGCACCTGCCATTGGATCCAGCAAGCAATTCTTGTGCGCCACTGGGCAAGTCCACATCGGCGGGTCCGGCAGGAGCGGGGCCAAG